TCGAATCTCACGACGTGAGACAAGGAAGCTCACGATGTGAGAACAGAAGGATAAGGAAGATAGGGCCATTTCCTTGGACTAAGCCACTATGGGCCTATTGGATTATTCTTTGGGGCTAGTAATGGACTAAATCACTTGTTGGGCTTGAGGAAGGCTCCATTCACGGAGTTGGGCCCAATTTAGAAAATTGGGCCATTAGTGGACTGGGAGGACAAGATGAAATTGGGCCTTGGGTATGGTCCAAATTAGACCAAGGGGTAAAATGGTCATTTTACCCTAAGAAGTATTATGGATTTTGACTAAGTGTTATTATGATAATGATAGCCGGGGAGTCATCGGAGCAGCTGTTAGGGATTTCTTTCCGTGATATTCGACACTTAGCTTTACGAGGTGAGTTTCTCTCCAGTAGGAACGAGTCTAAGGCCACAATGCCGACCCGTTTAGATGACAGTAGTTCCAGGCTTCGGTCCGATGTCAGGGCGGTCCCGAAAAGAGTATATGTATGCTTGATGTCTTTGTGATTCATGCATGGTATGTGTTATGTGTTCCGGGGCAAGCCCGATGTCGGGGAAAACCCGATGTATGTTGGTGTATCTGTTATATGTTATGTGTTCCGGGGTAAGCCCGATGCATGTTAGTTTATATGTTATCTGTTATGTGTTCCGGGCTTCGGTCCGATGACGGGGAAAGCCTGATGTATGTTATATGCTTATGTTATGTGTTTATGATATATGATATGTTGTGTATGTGTCGGGGTAAGCCCGATGCCAGACGTGGTCTGATGCCGGGGTGAGCCCGATGCCGGGCAGGAGTCCGATGCCGGGTAAGCCGATGTCGGGTTCGTCCCAATGCAGCTGGGCGGTGTCCCAAAGTTTATGTTACATGTTATATCTTAGGTGTATGGTATGTGGTTGTTTGGGGGAGCTCACTAAGCTTTGTGCTTACAGTTTTCAGTTTGGTTTCAGGTACTTCAGCTAGCAAAGGGAAGGACTCGGGATGATCGCATGACACACACCACAATTTTCTAGCCTGGGAGATTTACTCTGATATTTGATGAGATTTTGATATGTTGACAGATATTACGATATTTTGAGATACATGGTTTATGATTTTATATGATGACGATGAAATTTTTCGTCTGTATTTTTGGGATGTTTCAAGTTGGTATCAGAGCCTTGGTTTGAGGGATTCGGGCACACTCTCGGGTGTGTCTGAAATCAAACTAAGGACATGGTATGAAATTTTTCAAAAAGAAAATCATTTTTATAAAAGAATTTTTTAAAAGAGAAAAATGGTGTGGTGCATGCAATCAGCCCACAGCCACTTTCACTAAATTCGAGAATCAATTAACTTAAAACCCACGACCACTTTCACATTCAGGAATAATTTTTTTATAAAATTGTGATCGATAATTCTTTTGGGTATACCAATGATTAATAAAAAAACACTGCGAATTGTAAATCATGTTGTTATTTTGGAGACTGGCAAAAAGTGCCAAATTCGAATTCAGAATCAATTTGTATAAGATGGTGATTGATAATCGTTATTGGTAAACCAATAATCAACAGAAAAAACACTATGTATTTTAGAAATCACGTACATACAGGTAACCGACGATTGTGGTGTTGGTCTATGGCGACAACGCAGACACATTCCGACAACGAATATGGTGAAGGGCGGCGGCTGCTGGAGGACCCACATTGAAGAGGGAAATTGTTTTATTCTTGGTCGACGATCGAAGGGGAAGATGGTTTTTTAGGCTTTAGCTGATACCCTTGTTTTAAGGGTTATTAATGAATTATTCTTTTAATAGAGTTATATATACTAAGATAGTTATTGTATTCTTATTTTATTTATTAATAACATATATTTTTTAGAATTTGATTGGTTTCTATATCCATACAATAGATGTAGAAAACATATGAACATATATGAATCTTTCTCTCTCTCTCTCTCTCTCTCTCTCTCTCTATATATATATATATATATATATATATATATATATATAAGGTCTGACTCCGGTGAGGACTCAAAAAATGATGAGGACCACGAGAAAAAATTCCCCACCACCCATTTCGTCAATGACACAAATGTCAAACCCAAATATTTGGTCATGGGCCGCTCACATTTGACCCACGTCTGTGGTAACTAATACAGACTCGAAGATTTAATCACATGTGGCGAACGTCCATGGAACGTCATTTAAGTGAGTTTATTATTTATTTTCGTTATTTATGTTTTTTTTAATTTAAAAAAAATCAAAAAAAAAATTAAACATATATATGCTCGATTTTAACTTTTTTTATTATTATTTTTCGTTTATATTATTTTATTTTTATTTTTTTCGTTTTTTTAATTTTTTTTCTTATTTTTGTTTTTTTATTTTTTTAATATATTTACTACATACTTGAAGATACTAGTGTTTTTATTTATTTATTGATTTTTTTTTGTTTATCTTTTGATTTTTTAAACTAAATATCGGTTTGAGTTTTTAATGTTTAACAATTATAAAACTTTAAATAAGAAAAATATTAGTATCATAATATTTTCCGTTTATACTTTTTTTTAATCTTATTAATTTTGGATCATAAAATTTTAAATCCAATTATTTTGAATCATAGTATTTTGAATCAAATTATTTTTGAATCATATGCTTTTGGATCAATAATATATTCAATTAAATAGTGTTTTCTTCTAAAAAAAATTATGGATAATATTATATTTTGAATTATTTAATTTTGAATCATAAAACATATAATTAACGATTATAAAATTATTGAGTTTAAATATTTTTAGATCATAACAAATTAAAGGTCATAAACAAGTTGAATCAAAAGTTTTTTTTTGAATCATCACATTTTGGATCATATTATGTTCAACATTTTTTTTAAAACTAATATTTCTTAAAATTAAAAATAAATACTTCAAAAACTAATTTTCAATTTTTTTACAAAGTCAATATTATATTGAGTAGAAGTATCCCTTAAATTTTTATAATTTTTGGAGAAATTTGTTTTTGTTTTTTTATAAAAATAAAAAAATAAAAAATATTTTTTTTTCCAAATTTTCATGATTGTGCTCATTTTGTAGAGATTTAAGTTTTAAAAACTTTGGTTTTTTCTGATTTTTTTAAAAGAAAAAAATTATGGCAACGAAAGACTTGATGATATGAATAAACATAAAACAAGTTTAAACCCACCAATGATCATCTTGCAAGTTGTAAAAAGATTTAAACACCAACCAAAGAAGAGATGAAGAAATCACAACCTTTGTAGTTCTTTGGGTCCTCTTGGGAGGCTTGGAAGTTGATGAAGAATGATGAACTTTGAGACACTAACAATTATTCAACTTGATGTAGAATGCTAGTTCTTTTGTATAAAACTCTTAAGCTTGAAGTTCATAACCAATATGAAGTTCAACAAAGCAAAAGCAAGAGAGTTTATCTTCCAAAGATGAACAAAATTAAGAGAGAATGCATGTGTACATACTACTTATAGTTTTGACTAGACAAGGAAGAAAGATGATGAAAGCCTTTCTTAAAAGCACATCTATTACACACACAAGTCCTTAACTAGTTAAACACTTATGTCCCTAAAACTAGTTTGTCTCTCATACCTTTAAGACAAGCCATGCTTTTGATTAAACTAATCAAAAGCTCATGACTTCACTTTTCTTCCATAACTTATAAAATAAGAAAGGCAAAAGAAGACAAAGCTTTTATATTTTATAAACCAAGTTTATAAAATATAAACTTTTATTTTTTTGTAAAAGACAAAAGAATTAATCTAGTCTAAAATGTTATGCATGACTTATTAATTCATACCATGTAAATTATGTAATGTTACTTACTAATGAAAATTATTACTTTCAAGAAATAAATAATTTTCAATTTAATTATAAGAGTTTATTGAATATTTATTAAAATCAATTTTTAATAAACAATCAATTTTATCAGGTTGTTGTTAATGTGATCCATTAGTATCATATGTTAATTAACAATATCACTTTAATATTATTTTTGAGCATACTAGATTTTTCAAATATATATATATATATATATATATATATATATATATATATATATTTAAATTGGGCGACCATAACAATTATTAAAAAATAACACTAAATCGAGAATAATATTCAGTTTTATTCATGCACGAACAACAGTACATGTCATTGGGTAATATTTTTCAAAATAGTTGATATTATATATATATAAACTTAATATAAAAATTATTATGTTAATCCTATCCTATATTCTAATAATAAAAGAATATTTTTTTTGTCACGTGACATCTTTGTAACCTAAAAACTTTCAATGTGAATTACCTATTATACCCTTCAATCTCTAAAATTTATAGAATTTGAATTTCAAAATGTTACAATAAATATATATATATCGATAAACAAAATCCAAAGAAATAAGGGATTATCCTTCAAAATAGCTATCACAGTTTCTCCCAATATTACTTCCACCGATTTCTTTCTTTGCTCCTCCTATTGGTTCTTCAATCATTTTTTTCCTTCTCTAACACAATCACTTTTTCTATTTCTTCTCTCCATTCTTTCCTTTCTTTGCACAATCAATTTCAAATCAATAATGCATTTATGATTTGCTTATCCTAATCTCAAAATTTCAGGAAGGAAATTTTTTTGATTTTGAATTTTATTATCGATCCTTCAGAACATACACATCTAATTACCACACAAAATTTATTGTCATTCAATAAGATATGGATTTGCATCGATTATAAAAATTACCATTGTTCAGTTTTACCTACTAATTAATTTTATGGTAATTTTTGAACTGCAAATAAGTGTTATACTATGTTGTTATTATTATCTATGTTATGTTACATGGGTTTAAACCTAATATTAATATAATAACATAATTATTTTAAACAACTATATATAATTTAAGATGCTACAGGGAATCATCCATGGCTTGCAATGTATTATTATAAGTGGGAGTGGGACCATCAACCATCTTGCAAGTCTTTCGATTTTTGAAATAATATTTTCCTATACGCGGCTTTCAAAGTGAGTATGGAATTCCTTTGACATATCAGAGAACCGGCGCGGATGCTCTTATACGGTTCATGTAGACTTGATATCTGACTTTTCTCATTCCAAACTTCTTCTCAGATCTTACCACGTTGACATCATTCATCTAATTCCATGGCTATTGCTCAACCTTGTTTTAGTTATGATATTTTTTTAAGTTTTCGAGGCGAAGACACTCGTAACGGTTTCACAGATCATCTCTATACAGCCTTGAAGCAAGCAGGAATCCGCGCTTTCCGGGACAATGATTCAATGGAGAGAGGAAAAATGCTGAAGCTAGAACTGAAGAAAGCCATCCACGAGTCTGCAATTTCACTCATTGTTTTCTCAGAAGGCTATGCATCATCCAAATGGTGTCTCGATGAGGTTATGATGATTATTGAAGAACACGAGACTTCATCCTGTAAACATCAATTCGTACCTGTGTTCTACAAAGTGGAACCATCTGATGTTCGAAATCAAACAGGATGCTTTAAAGACGCATTTGATGTGTATGATGATGAAGTCAACGTAGAAACAAACCTTCGAAAGAAGAAAAAATTGTTAGAGAAGGTGGGGGCATGGAGAGATTCTCTTAACAAAGCTGCAACCTTTACAGGATTGGTATATAAAGATGGGTACGCATGCTTCCTTAAATCCTGTAAAGAAAAAAATCACTAACTAGTGTGTTATTTAGAATTGGATCTTGATCCTCATCTCACATGAGATCCATTTATATGTAAACAAACTAATCCGTTGATCCAGTTGACTCGTGTCTATATGGATTGGATCTATAAAAATATTCAAAATAAAATTATGAGTATTTTGGAAAAATAGAAATAATTTTTTCTTCAACCTCTTTCTTGAATACAATAAATAAAAAATAATAAAAGTATTTTAGAAGACTTCCATTTTTTAGTGTTATTTTTATCAAAAAAATTTCCGCAATAATCAAAATTTATAAGCTTATATTCTCTATAAATCAACATTAATATTGATATATTTTTTATATACTATATACTTTTTACATGAGATTTGCTCATGTATATTATTTACATGTGAATACACATTGCATTCAATTTTTAGTACAATTGGTCTTAACAATATTATTACATATGAATAAAAATCATATATAGAGTTTATTCAAATATGAATAATACTTATGAGTTATGACTAGAGCTGATATAAGAAAATAAAAATTTTGTATCTATACTAAAAAAGACTATATAAAGATAAATGTTTATTTACAGAGAATGAAAATTCATGAATTTTGATATATTGGTTTTTCAATAAAATAAGTTGTCAAAAATTAATGATTGAGATTTACTCTCATATTCTCAACAATTTTTCCATTACTTTGAACTTTAAAAGATAAAGATAGGATATAGGATTTTGAAGATTGTATTGTTCAAATAAAGATGCATCTTTCATTCATACATATGGTATATATCATCATTTGTATAATAAACAAGTACATTACAAATCTAATTTCTTTAATTTGAACTTTCTAGGTACGAGTCCAGATTCATAATCAATATTCTAAATGTTGTAATAAAGAAAGTGGACAACAAGGCCCTACACATTGAGGAGAAACTAGTGGGAATAAAGGACCATCTTGCTGAGATCCAATCATGGTTAGAAGATCGGTCACCTGATGCAGTAGTCCTTCTAATTGATGGGATGGGAGGCATTGGGAAATCAACCATAGCCAAATGCATATTTAACTTAAACTTTCGAAACTACAATGGTAGTTGCTTTCTGGCAGACATTAATAAGGAGACGTCAAATAAAAATAGTACACTCAATCGCTTCCAGAGTCAGCTTCTTTCCACTATTTTAAGGAGTGAAAAAGAAGAAACTATATGGAATGTTGATGAAGGAACCAATAAGGTGACAAATGCCATATCCAACAAAAAGGTACTTCTTATCCTTGATGATGTTGCAACAATGGAACAGTTAGATGCCTTACTAGGACCGAAAAGGTTTTATCCTGGAAGTAAAGTGGTCATAACAACTAGGCACACATGGTTGTTGACTGCTTTCAAAGATCATGGTAAGGTTCACTCCCTTGGAACATTATCCATGGGCGACGCTACTGAACTCCTTAGTTTGCATGCGTTTGGTCAACACCAACCCGTTGAACCCTATATTGTCCACTTAGAATTAGTTGTTCAGCGCTGCAATGGCCTTCCTTTGGCTCTTAAAGTATTGGGATCTTCCCTACGTGAAAAGACAAATGATGAATGGGAAGATGCAATTCACAAACTGGCTGCAATTCCTCATCGTGAGATTCAAGAAGTTCTACAAATAAGCTATGAAACTTTGGCAGATGACAAGGATAAAGGTTTATTCTTGCATATTGCTTTCTTCCTCGAGGGTGAGGAAAGAGACTACATTGTGAAATTATTGACTGAATGTAATCTACACCCTATTGTTGGGATCAAGAATCTAATGGATAGATGTCTAGTTTATGTTGAAGATGGGAGAGTGATGATGCATCAATTAATCAAGGAGATGGGACGAGAAGTTGTTCGCCAGGAATCAGAAAAGGAACCTGGGAAAAGAAGTAGATTGTGGGATCATCAGGACTGTATTAATGTGTTGCAAGACCATACCGTATGCTTACACACCCCTTTTGTATATTATTACTTAAGTAATCATGCATGTTGAGCCATAGCTAGTTTACCTTTTTGAATTTCTTAACTAGGGTACAGAAACTGTAGAAGGACTCACGCTTGATATACAAAAGTTCATGGAAGCCGAATCAAGAGATGATGATGCATATTTCCAAATTAGTGCCCTGGAGAAGATGAAGAGTCTAATTCTACTTCAACTTAAAAATGTAGTATTTTCTGGGAAATACAAGAAGTTTCCCAGAAAGTTACGATTGTTGAGTTGGCATGGATTTTCTCTAAAAGCTATACCAGGTGACATTTCATTGGAGAAGTTGGTGATACTTGACATGAGCTACAGCAAATTAACACGTGTTTGGGATAACTTCATGGTATGTCTTCTTGCATCACCATTTCAGTTTTGGAGTGTTTGTTAGTTATCAAATTATTATTTTATAAGATGTTTATGTAGAAAGTTCTTTATATGATTGTGGTTTTTCTTGTCACAGTACATTGGATCCTTAAAAATCCTTAATCTTAGCTATTCATTTGACCTGATTGAAACCCCTGATTTTGGCGGATTCCCTAATCTGGAGAGCTTGATCCTGAGACATTGTTGGAGTTTAATCAAGGTTGGTGAATTGATTCCACACCTTAAAAAACTAAATTCGTTAGATCTAACCAATTGTAGAAGCTTGAGAGATCTTCCATGCTTACCTAGATCCGTTGAATCGCTTCAAATATCTGGTTGCAAAAAGCTTGAAGTTCTTGGATCGATTGCAGACCTTACAAAACTAGGCTCATTAGATCTAAGCGATTGTGAAAGCTTGAGGAATCTTTGGTGCTTGCCTAGTTCCATTGAATGGCTTTATATGAATGGATGCAAAAAGCTTGAAGTTCTTGGATCGTTTGCAAACCTTACACGACTATACTCATTAGATCTAACCAATTGTGAAAGCTTGAGAAATCTTCCATGCTTACCTAGATCCCTTAATTATCTTAAATTGTATGGTTGCAAAAACCTTGAAGTTCTTGGATCGTTTGCAAACCTTACGCAACTATACTCATTAGATCTAAGCTATTGTATAAGCTTGAGGGATCTTCCGTGCTTACCTAGATCCCTTGACTCGCTTCAAATGTGTGGTTGTGGAGTTCTTGGAAGGGTCGATCAGTGCTTGGATTCTTTTTCATCACTTTCCTTTTTAACGGAAGTGAATTTGTCACACTCCTATCTCTTTGTCAATTCTTTCCCAGATGAATGGGGTAGCCTGGTCTCACTCGTGAAGTTGAATATAGATGGCAACAATATAACCTTCTTACCAAAATGTGTTCAAACCCTACCGAGAATTGAAGAGCTGAGAGTCTCACATTGTTCAAAACTCCAATCAGTTCTAGGTCTCCCAAATTCCGTCAATGAGCTGTTTGTCAATGACAATGAATCCTTGGAAAAAGTACAGCCTGCAGAAAATTCAAGGACCGTAGTGCACCACATGAACTGCCCTAAATTGTGTGAGATCACGGGTCGTTATAAGATTCAGTTAATAGATAAAGTTGAGAGGAAAATTATACGGTATCTGGGATTAGAATCAAATGCATGTGAAGGAATGGAGTTGGATCTTGAGGTGCTTTCTCTTTCTCTATCTCTGCTTTGTATATTTGTTTTATAAGCTAATGCCGAGAATCAAATTACTCAATAACTAATAAGGTGTCCGTGTGAGTGTGTCACAGGTGTTCCATGAGTTTGGCATATTCAGCACATTTGTTTCAGAAAAACAAACCCCTTCTTATTCCTGCTTCACATATAAAGAAATGGGCTCACGAATTTCATTTAAAGTTCCTTTGTATAGTAATAGTTTGAGAATAATTGGCTTTAATATGTGTGTCGTTCTTTCTCTATCATTCTTGCAAATGGGTCTTGATCTGGAGATTGGAGTACAAAACAAGACCAAAGATTTGCTGTGGAGTTACTTTAAAAGAGATCAAAATATCCGTAAGAATGCAGGAAATTTCGCATTGTTAAGCCTTTGGAGGTGTGGCAATCTGTTGGAGGGTGGAGATGAAATCATCATACGTGTCTTTTCTCGTATAATACGTGTAGAGGAATGTTGTATAAACCTTATATACGAAGATTATGAAGAATTACTTGATGAAGAAAGAAAGGAGGCTCATGATGTCAATGTCTTTGATCAAATGTTGTGGACTGATAGAATGGATAAAGATATATCGCATTATGTTTTCCCGGGGAAGAAACATGTGTTCCGAGATGACCATCTGGAATATAATGCAAGAAAGGAAAAATGGGAGAGACCAACAATCTCATACCCCATTAATAGCCCCCAAGACAGGAGCCTAGTGGTTGACACGCGGTATTTCATAAAGGGGATTCAAGGTTCAAACATTGCACGTTTCTAGTTTTCTTGTTACTCTATCAAATGAAGGCATCCACAAAATTAAGCCAATTAAAAGTCAAAGATTATGTCTCTTGTTTCCTCTTGGATGTGGAAAATTAATTTTCTTCTTGGATGCCATATCAGTGCTGCTGGGAAACTCCTTCTGTCTTGTAGGATACACCTTGTGTTTGATCAAGCATGACAATGGTCTGCCAAAAAAATGTGTGAAATGGTGGGTCACTATAAGCTTTAATCAATAGACAAAGTTGAGAGCAAAATTCAGGTGCTTTCTCTATCTCTCTCTGGTTTGCATATATGTTTTAGGGTATTGCTGACAATCAAACTAAATAACAAATGGAATGTTTGTCGCAGGTGTTACATGAGTTTGGAATATTCAGCACATGTGTTTCAGAACATCTATTTGCAAGTGAGTCAATCTATTGGTGTGTGGAGAATGGAGATCACATTGTTGGTCCATTTGTAACTTTCATGTGTGGAGTGGCATCATTTACCATCTTGAGGTGGATCTGTATTTTGGATTAACTTATTAGAGAATGTATCTTTTCTAAATTTTATTGATATGTCATGTCCATGAAAAAATTAGAGAAACTCATTATAAAATCACAAATTGTGGCAGTAGCTTGAATATATTTTTATATTGGTTATACGAGATCTATAGCTTGTTTTATATGAAAGTTCCTTATGTTTTTTAGAAGAATCTTAATAACTGGTCTCTTTTTATTTGATCATTTTTGTTTCTCTTTTTACTTTTGTTCCTTTTTAGTGCAATACATCAACATGTATTTTGATTAAATTAAGTTTTGCATTGCTGTTTCATCCAAAAACTTTTTATTGCTAGACTTTTGTTACAATTTCATGGATAGTTGTAAGGGGAATTGCCCTCTAATCACTTTTAGTTGGTGCACAAATGTTGATAGAGGCTTGCTGTGGAGATTGAAAGATAAAGAACCTGGCGAAACTAATAAACCATTGTTTTTGGTGTTGATTCACTTATGTTTGTTGTTTCTTACACATTCTGGGATTCAAGCAGAATGGGATAAAAGGAATGTTGTTGTTACTCCCCAAGTATGATCATGACTATTTACCGATGCCCACAATCACAAATAAAGGGTTTCTATACAAGTAAAGAATCATGTTGTTTCCATAATTATTAGATTGATTTGTTGTTTCAAACATACTTGAAATCTTTCATGTAAGAAAAAACTTAATTAGCTCTTAGAAAGAAAACAGAGGATAGGAACAGGGGAAGAGTGGACGACCCTGACTTTCCTTGTTCAGGTGTTTCCATTGAACATATGTAGTTGATTTTATTCATTATTTATAGTTGATTCAATCCTTTAAATGGAAAGAGGCATACCTTAAATCTACTTTTGTGCATGTAACTAGTTTTAAACTATTTATATTCTGCGAAGACCATTTCGAATGCTAAAATAAAGATGAACCGCATAAAGGCTAAAAATTTCTTCCGAAAGGCTTACAACAAGTGTAATATTAGCATATTCCCATGAATTTTGGTCCCAGCTTCACATGAACATGATGCTATAGTTGTGAAAGATTAGAGGTACTGTTTCTAGTGCTATTGCATGTTTCAGGTTTTATTCATTTATTCAACTTTCTCCATGTTGTGAGCGACTTCAATACCAAAGAATTGTAACAACGTAAGTTCAGTGACCAAATTGAGTAAAACATAATTTGTCAGTTGGGTTTTTTTTTCTTAAACAAAATATTTCAAATCGTCCTAAATAAATCAATTTGATTACAACAAGCCTCGATTTATAGATTGAGGTCAAGGTTGAATATAAATACTAAATAGTCATGGTCATACCGGGAATAACATAGTTTTATCCCTTTACACTTTGCATTACCGTTGAAACTTGTAAGTATCATGGAGGTCGTGACATGGGACACCACGTTCATGTCGAGCACCATGACTCTTAGAGGGTGTTTGTGATTGCTTTAAAAACAACTTTTTGGCTTTTTACTTTTCCAAAAAGTCAAAAAAATTGAAAAGTTGTTTGGAAAGGAAAAAAGATCTTTTGAAAACAACTTTTGGGTAAAGGGAAAAGAACGTGATTCAAAAAGCCACAATCTCTGACTTTTGGAACTTTTGCCTTTTGAAAAACAACTTTTGCCTTTTGAAAAACAACTTTTGCCTTTTTTTTTACATCCAAACACATTTTAAACTTTTACTTTTGAGAAAAGATCTTTTATAAAAAAGTTATTTTCTAAATAGGACTTTAAGCCTAGAAAAGATCTCTTTTATTAGCCAACTTTCTAAGACGCCAAATATGGTAAAAACCTGTCGTTTTGGGCTCAAATCAGTTCTTTGAGATTTCCTTAATACTTCATCAGTTCCTTCCATTTCTTCCATTTTTGGGTGATTTCGGATCAGAGAAGTTTTAAGGTATACCACTTTCTTACCTTAATCTTGAACTTCGACATAATTAGGGTTGATAAATTTTGAAAAGCTTCATTGGTGAATCTTGATGCATGTTGAATCTTTTGTTCTAAAAGTTGTTAAAATTGTCAGGTAACAACAAATACACAAAAGATTTCAGCAATTACTAACCTAGATTCTTGAAGTTTATGATTTATTGCAACGCCCGTAAATTGACAAGGTAAGCTGTTGAACACTTGGAATGTTGATATTAACTGAAGGTATTGTAAATATGCTATTATGGTAGTATGATATATATACCATCTAGGTAATGCTAACAAAACTTTTAAAGTAGGATGCTATAACGTGTTGAAGTTTCCTAATTGAAGCGGTGATGTGTATTGAATGGTGGCTTCAGAAGCATTTCCTCTGTACAACAAATCTCTATCAATTGTATCCAATTCCCTAAGTGAAGCTGTGATGTGTGCCTTTTTTTTTGTTTATTTAGAGTCTATAATCTTAGTTTTGATCTAAAAGGTAAGTTTTAAATGGCCATTCGGCCCTCTTCCACTTGCTCCATTGGCAGGCAGCAGTTTTTCCTTTGTTTTCCAGTCATCCCTTTCTAGATTTTCAACTCTTAAATTTAGTAGTACATGTAGCCACAGGGAAAACACGTATTTATTTATTTGTTTGTTCTCCGAACAGAGTAGTATTTGTAGTTAGCAAGAGCTTCAGTTAAGCCCCATTAACATTACTGTAATTACACATTACACTGAGTTCAATCACTTATGCAGCATTTTCTACTGCACAAAAACCCTGCAAAGTTGGGCTGGTTATGGAACATTGAGTTCAAGGTGAGCTACCAACTGTGGAAGTCAGAGGAATAAAAAAATGTGAGATCATCCATATTTTCCAATATTAATGCAATGGGCCCTACCTAAAGTTATTTCTTTCCATGTGAATGATAGGAATTTATAATATGTGGGGCTGGTACCAGTTATTGCTGAAGATTCAAGTGGACTTAATATCAACTTTTCCATTCCAACACTCTTGTCTCTACTTTAATCATTGGCTTCTTCTTCATCTTCTCCCATGGCTACTGCTCAACCTTGTTTTAGTTATGATGTTTTTTTAAGTTTCCGAGGTGAAGACACCCGTAAGAGTTTTACAGATCATCTCTATACAGCCTTGAAGCAAGCAGGACTCCGTACTTTCCGGGATGATGATGCAATGGAGAGAGGAAAACTGCTGGAGCCAGAGCTAAATAAAGCCATCCATGAGTCAGCACTTTCACTCATTGTCTTCTCCAACGACTATGCATCCTCTGAGTGGTGTCTCAATGAGGTTATGATGATTATTAAGGAACACGAGACTTTGTCCGTTAAACATGAAGTTGTACCTGTGTTCTATAAAGTGGAACCATCTGATGTTCGTGTGGAAGTTTCCTTCAAACTTTAACATTGGATGATTTCTAGAATACCATTCTACACATGTGGTTTTAATTTGTCGAGAATGGGTGGTAGCATGTTTGTCAAGAATGGATGGTAGCATGTTTGTCAAGCTTGGATGGTAATAGACAATTGAATTCATACATTCATTTGCCTATAAAAAGAAATGAAACCAAGCTTATTAAAAACACCACACCTCAAATTACATCTTCATCTTTCTCTCATGTTCATACAAATATATGTTTGATATATTTGTTTTTTCTTTCCTCTATCTCTGTAAACACTGTAAACACTGAATATTATAGTAAATTGGTTCTCGGCTTCCTCCGCCCGTGGTTTTTCCCGATTTGGGTTTCCACGTAAATATCGCGTGTTTTTTTCTTTTTATCGTTCGATTTATTCTTGGTTGATTATTCAAATAGTTTTATATTCCGTTGAATCGCTATCGTGATATTTGGGTTTTATACTTCGATCTTGAAGTTATCGATTATTTATTGTAGTCGATTTGTCTACAATTGGTATCAGAGCTATCCGGGTTTTCCGATAACGATTCGTAAAAACTATTTTCAACCATGTCATCGATGAAGTACGATATTCCTTTACTTGACAGAAACACAAGATTCCCTCTCTGGCAAGTAAGGATGAAAGATGTGTTGATCCAAATGGATCTCCACAAAGCACTATTAGGAATGGAGAAAATGCCGGCAACTTGGTCGACTGAGGAAAAGGAGATGAAAGATCTGAAGGCGTCGTCGCAGATCCGTCTGCATCTTTCTAACGACGTTCTCCAAGATGTGTTGAAAGAGACATCCGCAGCGGCTCTCTGGCTAAAACTCGAGCAGCTACTTATGACGAAAAGCTTGCCCAACAAGCTACACTTGAAGCAACGACTTTTTAACCTAAAGATGGGTGAAGGTAGTTCTTTGTCTGATCACCTCTCTACCTTTAAAGAGCTTGTAGGAAATCTGGAGAATATGGACGTCAAATACGAAGATGAAGACTTGGCGTTATTTTTATTATCTTCTCTCCCAGACTCCTACGATCACTTTCGTGACACCATTATCTATTCTCGGGACACTCTTGTCCTTGACGAGGTAATGACTGCTCTTGATTCAAAGGAAAAGATGAAGCAGATAGTTGGGAACAGTAGCAGCGATTCTAAAGCCGAATGTCTCAACATCAGAGGGAGACCTAACGAGAGAGGTAGCTCTTCACAAAACCGATCTAGATCTAAGTCCAAAGCCAATCGCAAGTATTGCAATTATTGCCACAAGAAGGGACATCTGATCGATGAATGTTTCAAGTTAAAGAACAAGGAGAAAGCAAAGGCAATCGCAAAGGGAAAAACAACCAATAACACCGTTGAAGCCGATGTTGCCGAAACTGGTTCCGATGGCGAGCTTCTATCCGTTTCAGACTACGGTTTAATGACCACGAGTGAGTGGGTACTTGATTCAGCGTGTACTTTTCATATGAGCTCCAACCGAAGCGTTTTTCATTCATATGAAAAGGTTAACGAAGGCCACGTTCTAATGGGTAACGACACTTCGTGTCGTATTATTGGACGGGGTACACTCAGGTTCCGCATGTTCGATGGCGTTGTTCGAACGATTCAAGATGTGAAGCACGTATCCGGTCTTAGGCGAAATTTACTAAGTCTCGGTACTTTCGAGAAGAAAGGTTACGAGTTTGTTGGCAAAGACGGGAAACTCCATATTTTCAAGGAAGGTTTTGTGGTCATCCGAGGAGTTAGAAAATCCGCAAACCTTTACATTATGGATGGGCAAGTTATCTCCGGCGAAGTCTCGGTATGTTCTAAATCC